CTCCTCCTACTGCTCCTAATGGCATTTCCAAAAATCCACCTGGTCTGAAAAAAAAAACAATCAGAGCTGAGAAAGATAGAAAGAAACTTTGGGCTTGGTATTTGATGACCTGGGAATGAGACTCAACAATCAACTACCTTTCTTGCCTTGCGTCAAGTCTGCCGACCATTTAGAGGCTGTTTTCCTGATTTGTTGACCAATCGGAGGCTGTGTAGGCATATGTGTGTTTAAAATTGCCATATTTTAAAGATTTAATCAAAAATGTAATCAAGTAATCCTTGACATTGTAACTATAATGTAATTACACATTTGTATGTAATCTGGGCTGATTATAGTAATATATATATATAAATCACTTATTTTTTGTAATCTGATTACATAATCCCAATTACATGTGATCAGTTACTACCCAACACTGAAGATAATATAGTACTTTATTTATTCTGAGGGAAATTGTTGTGCAGCCATTTTAGTACAAAGTAGGAAAGAATGCAAAGATAATATATATATAAAGGTGTATATAGTATAAAAAATATCAATAAACAGATATCCTAAATGCAAAATATAAACAATGCCAATGTAAGGATCATTAGTCGATCATGTTTTAGGTTGCTTCTTGGTGAGTTGCATATGGATTTGGATGATATGTATCACGTCCACTACTCACCGATGTTTATGAGATTGAGAGGGAGAATAAAACCATGTGGGCTGACACTTTGGGACAAGGTGTGGAGCTCAGAGTGGAAATATCTTGCTGGAAGTTCTGGAGGAAGTGGTTGGGGGGAATGACATCAGGTCCACCTCCTGGATTAGCACTATGGCAAGATAACAAGATAAATGAGCAGTGGTAACAGGCATCAAAACTTCTAAAGCAGCCATAATCACCCATATTATACACTCACAAACCCTGAAGCATTCCAGCAACCTAACCTGAGCTCAGTGAGTTTAATATTAGCCTTCTCTCCTTCATTAGAGATGACTGATGTATCCTTCATTCATTAACCAAAGACTCCCTCCTGTATAATCATGGGATTTAACATTTGTATAGTTATTGCACAGGAATTTGTTGAGCCTTAAAGGTTATATATATATATAAATATATGAAATTCACTTGCCACTAGATGTTGCACTAAAGCATCATCAGCTGACCAGACCTTTATTGACAAAAGCAGTAATTTTACCTAGCAGTTAATCGTAAAACACACTTCAAACTGGACAGAAACAAAATAAATCTCCCCAAAACCATCTCTGTTAGTCTTTTCGCAGTCTTTCTAAATCACCAATGCTTGTTTGTTCAAAATAAACCCTTAATTCAAATTTAGATGAGAAACTGGCTGTGAAACAGGTCAGCTAAACACCCATCAAGTGCATCCACTAAAAGTGCTTGTTTTTGTCACTGGCAGACTCAGTTATGTGAAAGACCTTTTCTTTATTCAGAAACAGCGGTAATTTCGCTGTCGCTTGCCACCAGACTCAAAGGACAAAAGCGATAATTTTACCTCGCCAATCATTGTAACATCGTAACTTTGTAGTTTCAGTCGGAGCAGACCGGCTCTGTAAACAAACCACAGAGAGGCTGCAATAACAACACAGGCAGAGGGAGTGAGACATTATGAGAATAGCTGTTTTCTACTATAATCATTTTTTAAATCTGTTATATATAACCTTTAAAGGCACACCCGCAGCCTGTAGCTACTGTACCATTATGGAGGTCTTTAAGAGTGAAATGTGTCTAAAAAAATGCTATCGTAACTATTGTCTTTGTTCTAAGCAAACATGACAAAATCATTCTTCATTAAAGCTGCAGTAGGTCATTTTTTTGTCATATGTGCAGAAGCTTTCACTATATCCTGACAGTAGAACATGAGACAGATAATCTATGAACCGAAAAAATCCAGGCTTCCTCTGGATCCTTCCTAGAGCTTTGAATGGTAATTTGCAAGAACTCCACCGGCCTGACATGAACACACCACAACTCAGCCAGCGACGAAGATAGAAACAGACGGCTTTGAGGCTG